TTGATGGCCTGGACTACAATTCTATTCACTCTCCTTGCACAAATAGAATGACAGATACGTACCACTGTGCTCAGCTCAACTCTGCCATTTTATTAACTGTGCTCCTGAGTAAGTTACTTCATGTTTTTGAACCTGCTTTCTAATTATGAAAATGGAGATAACACCATGAAAACGACTAGTTGTAAGAATTATATGAATACATAACTACAAACTTATATGCAAGTTCTTAGCCCAGTAATTGGTATAAATCACTCAAGTAGTAGTTATCATGCTTCTGCTATATTCAGGAAGAGTTTTGATCAAATTTTAATGTTATTTGAAATCAAAGTTTTATAATGTAATAAATCATGTACCCCAAAGAAACCTTAATACTACAAATGTCAAAAAATACACTTATATTGTACTTTTAGTTTAACAAAAGTAGGAACTTGGAAAGCTATTTCTAGTTCTAATTTCAAAGTCCTATTAAACCCATAAAAAAGATGATGCAAATTACTAGTGGATTCCAATAAAACTAACTCATTAACATTGGGTTAAAAAATACAAGCAGTATTTGTCTTAAATTTAGGTAAATACATTTACCTTCACGTAGTGTAACCAAATTTTACGTCAATAGTGCTCTTTCACAAGCTCCTTATTTTCTTTCTCTAATTCTTTCAGACGAAGACAAAGATTCTTTATATATACACCAATTTCTTTGATAGAGTTTTTCTCTTTCTCTAAATTTACAATCTTCACATTATTTTCTTCTAATGTGGTATCGTTTATTTCTGCTTGTTGTCGAATCTTTTATTTTCCTTCTCTAGTTGTTTCTTATCCTTGTTCCAGTTGAGATGTCTCTTGTTCCAATGATTTATTCTTTTTCCAGCTGTTCTAGTCTTTTGCTAGATATTTTCAGTTCTTCTAGGTTTTGTTTGCAATGTTGATTTTCCATCTCTAAGTCTTGTAGTTCACTCTCTAATTGCTGAATTTTTGTTGTTTTCTAGAGCTTTCTGTAGTCTTTGATTTTTCTGTATCTAATCCCTGGTAGCTAACTTCCAAACGTTCTTTTTCTTGAAAGATGCTTTCATGAGCTCCAAACCTTTCTTAAGTTGATCTTTTTCACTTTCCAGCTCTTTGTTTTCTAGTTGTAGCTGACCATTTTCATACTCGCACACTTCAAGGATTCCACATTCCTTCGGAGTTCTAAGTTTTCTTCATCAAGTTGGGAATTCTCTTTTTCTAGGGATTCTAACTGAAAAGTAAGGTTTTTAAACTATCCAAAGTTTTTTTAAATTTCTATTTTCTCTTTTCTAGCTCTGAATTTTCTTGTTCTAATGCCTCAATTTTTTCACAAGTAATTTTTAAATTGGTTATCTTTTTCTGTAACAATTCATTTTCTTTTCCAAGACGATGCAACTCATTTTCAAGTTCTTCTGCTCGTTCTCCCTTTTCTTTGTAATGTTCCAATTCTTTTCTAATTTGTCTTTTTTCAAATTCAATCTTGCTTAGCTTGCTACTTGTTTCTTTGATAGATTCATGGAGAATTTATTTCTTTTTCAATGTCTTTCACCCTTGCTTCAGCACCTATCTGGACCGCTGCCTTAAGGAAGACACTGTTTGATTCAGATGTTCATTTTCCTGTTCAGTATTTTAATCTAATTTCAAAAAAAAAAAAAGAAAGAAAATTTAAAAACTATAATGAGCAAAACCAAATTATTTTTATGTTATTATTAAGAACATAGTTTTTATCTTCCAAAAATAGAGAAAGAACATTAAGGAGTGCTAGAATGTATGTCTAATTTTTAATTCCAACAAATATTTACTGAATGATCACAATGTATATGTACTGTCAGGTCACTAAAGTTAATGTTTTTTAGGGAGTTCACAATCTAAAGAAATGACTAAGATAATGCATTACTATTAATCAAAAAGATCTTCAGATAGTTTTATCATTTAACATGTTTCAAATTCAGACATAAATATCGTAAAATACATGTACACACCTCCTTTCATTAAGTAATTTTTGCAATGCCTTATACAAAGAGGATCTCAGTTAATATGTACACATTATATGTGTGTGTGTGTGTGTGTGTGTGTGTGTGCATGCACATGTGAGTGTGTACACATTCATTCCTAAGAATTCTACTTAGGAAACATCTAAATAACAAAACCAGCTGGTTCACTGGGTAATAAATTCATCCAATTTATACTATGGCCTAATATAATGGTTTCACAAAATTTAGTGTGATAACTAATCCTGAGAAGTTTCTGAAAGTGTGGGTGTATGCTTAGCTTTAAAATTTTTGTTCTGTAACCTAAAGAAATCTGAATTTTTATCTGATGGTCTGAGAACTATGACTGGTCAATATAAAACAAATTAATAAATAGAAATTTCAATACATCAAATCACTTAATCTACCCAGTTCTGTTTCTTCAGATAGTTAAAAATGACCAATACACAGCTGAAAGCAAATTTAATAGTATCCAAGATGTTTGCTGCCACAACACATCTCCCTCTTTACTAGCAGCTAGGTATAGCTGCATTTCTCACCAACTCCACTTAGGGACTTTAAAATTGGCAGTACTATTCCAGACACTTGAAAGCACAGGTACTGAAACATTTTATAATACATAATTATTAAGTACACTGGCAATTTAAAAAATTCTAAGGTTTCTTCTCAACTTTCCTAAACTACATGGGATAGGAAATGAGGCAAAATATACTGCAGTCCCTCCTCATCCTTGGGGATAAATCCTCAGTTGGTAACTGCAAATAATACAGAGTCCTGTTCTACTATATTTTCTTTTCTATACACACATACCAATGATAAAGTTTAATACATAAATTAGGCACAGTAAGAAATTACCAATAATTTATTGTAGATCTTAGCAACCTCAACATATATTTTTCTCTCTTTATTCGGTAATTAGGTAAAAAACTTCACCTTTTCATTTAAAAAAAAGCACTTAATGGCTTTTCTTTGATATATCTGAATTGTTAGCATTGCTATTCTTACAATCTGGGGCCATTATTAAGCAAAATAAGGGTTACTTGAATTTAAATACTGTGATACTATGACAATCAGACATGTGATAACCAGGGAAGCTACTAAATGACTAATGAGCAGGTAGTATACACAGCAAGACTATGCTGGACATGGGATGGTTTTATTTCCCAGGAGATTTATCTCATCACACTACTTCGAATGGCACACAACTGAAAATTTATGAATTGTTTATTCCTGGAATTTTCCATTTAAAATTTTTGGACTGTAGAGGATTATAGGTAATTAAAACTTTAGAAAACAAATGACAAATACTGATGGGGGGGCAGCTATTGTAATTACTTTAAAATCTTAAAAAATTCCAAAATAGTTCCCTTTAATGTTATATGAACATTTTATCTGCATATCCTTTAAAACAACTTTTGTTAATGATTTTAGAGTACACTGTTTGCTTAAGTAAAAAACTTATGAACCTGTCTCTCTGAATTTTCTCTAAGTGTTTCAATTGTTTTTTCAAGCTGAGCTTTTTCTTTCATTAGATCCTTGCTTAAGTTCTGACAATTCTGAAGACTTTGCTTTTCTTGAATAATCTCATTTTCAAGAATTTCAACCTAGAGGAAAACAAATCACAAAACAACATATAAGTATTACAACAGAGGAAACATGTGAAAACAAAAGACAACCACTGAATTGAGGATAGAATACAGTTTTAATATCTAAACTGTAAAATTTAAGAATTTAATACAAAAATTCAAGTAGCATTCTATGCTAATTTTAGTTAGGTGCTGTATAAAATTTGCAGACATCTATCTTTCTTATCCTCTACATGCTTCAGGGCAAAGTTCTTTTTCTAAACACAAAGACAAATGGTAAATAAGTTGATACCAAAGCACTAATATGAAGATTTCACAAATATACTGAAAGACCCTTTTGGCTTAAGTTGATTTGTAATATAAAATTTTAATTATAATCAAGGAATCTCAATGAGCAAGAAGGGAAAAGAGAATACAAAAACTGGAAGGAAAAAAGGTAGAAATGATGGCGTAAGCTCAATGAAAAATAAGAAGGAACTTTGCTTTAAAAAGGAAAAAAGAGAAAAAGGGAGAATAAAACTAGCAAAAAAAGGGTTGAAGAAGCTATAAGAAAGACTTCTTTTAGGATTAATTAAATTTATTTTTTGTGATGCTGAAGAATCAAATCCAGGCCCTGGGCATGCTAAGTAAGTAGGTCTGCCACTGCGCTACAGTCCCCAGCCCTAAATTTATTTTCATTGATACATTTTAAAGATATAATTATGTTGATGGTATGGAATGATGCAATTTCAAGCTAAAAAACATTAAAACTAGTGATAATTTCATTATTACATACCATACTGAAAACAGGTAACTTAAAAAAAATCAAGAAAACACTTTACAATTTGATTTACAGTGTTCTCTGAAGTCTCACAAGTTTGAAGGCTTGAATGCCAGCCTGTGGTGATCTGAAGGTTGGTAAACCTTAGGAGGTAAGGGTTAGTGGAAGGAAAATAGGTTCACTGTAGGAATGTCCCTGAAGGGACACTTGCCTATCTCTCTCCCTTTGCTTCCTGTCTCCACCATGTGCTCTGTGCTATGATGTTCTGCTTTGCTGCAGGCCCAAAACCAATGGAGCCAGCATACCCTGAAAGGAAACTCTAAAACTGTGAGAAAAAATAATTATTTCTCCTTATAACTTAAGCATTTCAGATATTTTGTTATGGCAACAGAAAGATGACTAACACTGAAAACTCTAAAATATTTCACTTCAGCTTTTCAGTTAATTTCTAGTTATTAGAGAAGAACCCTAAACCAAGTGGAATTTTTCCATTTTAACAGTAATGAAAGAGAGCTACATAGAAAAACAACCGTCTCTAGTAATATTGCAAAAGCATAAAGTAGGAAATGGCTCAAATGGTAGAACACTACCTAGCAAGCACAAGGCCCTGAGTTCAAACACCGTAACCAACATACCTAACACACAAAAGCACGAACTCACAAATCTTATTCAGTAACTCAACTCAATATTAATTTACATGTTCAGGAAGTTTTTACCTATTAATACCTAATTAATCTGTTTTCTATCATATATGGAAGTATTTAAGTTCATTTGTTCTTTATATAAATGAGATTCAAATGAAACCTTCAGTTTAACAAAAAAAAAAATGTTTCATATGATAAACTGAATAAAAATTGCTAGACTGAGATTTGCTAGATTCCAAAGCCAATTTCAAAATGAAACTAGACCTTACAGGTCCAATTGTAAGTAAAATCAGACTGAGTTCTAAATGATCTCTTCTATTTTTAATTTAGTATACACCAATTTCAAATGCCTATTATGATATATTTGGTTAATGGATTAAGATCCATCAGTGCAAAAGTGTTTTAAAACAGTAAAAATCTTGCAAAAATCAAGGAGTTGTGAATAATCTAAGGCAATGATTCTCAAAGCATGGTTCAAGGACAGCACAATTAGTTAGTATTTCCCAATAATTCTTAGTTGTATATATTTCTGCAAGAGAATTCTATTGATGCAAAATTATGGGCATGTGTGCCAAAAAAGAAATGCAAAAATAAACTACTCTGCCTATTATACAATTAAATATTTCTGAAGTCTATTTAAAATATAGATTTCAGGGCCCAGAGTTCAAACCCCTATACACCAAAAAAAAAAAAAAAAAAAAAAGAATAAAATGCAGGTTTCATAAATGCTAAATTATGGTCTCCACTTAAAAGGAATAATGACTTTTTGGGGATATGGCTGTTTCCAGTTCTGGAACAGAAAATTCTGAAGATGAGCTTAGAGTACTTTGTCATGGCAGAAAGTATGGACACCTTTAAGGAGCTTAGGTGTTGGTAAGGATTCAGGAAGCAGTTTTTAAAGAGTTTCTCAATAGCTAACATTGGGAGAGGAAGTAAAATAAACGTACAGGATTGAAATCCTTCAAATATTTTTAAATCCATAAGCTTATAATGACACTAAAATCAAAGCTTGCTAGTTATTTCAGGAGGATATGGGATAACCAATTCATTCTTTGGAAACCGGTAAAAATAGTAAAATAAGAAACATTCATCCTATTCTCGTATGTGCTGTTTCTCTGAGTAACAGCTTTTGCTTTTAAACCAACAGTTTTTAAAACGAAGTTTTTCTTCATAATTATTCCAACTAACAAATTATGAATGAAGATACAATTAGAACATCAAGTTTTTTGGTTTTGATTTTTTTGAGACAGGGTTTCATTATATAGCCCAGGCTGGCATTGAACTCACAATCCTGCCAAAACTCCTGAGTGCTGGGATTAGTTTTTACCACCATGCCCCCTAGAATATCAAGATTTTTTTTTAACCTCCAATATTAACTGGAACTAACCTCGACTTTCCATGAACAACTCACAAAAAGACAGACAAGCAGACAAGGCTTCCCCATTGAAATATATATACCTCTTACGAGTATTACAAAAAAATCAATGAACCTAATTAAGCCTCTGGATAAAAATTACAGGTGAAAAAAAGAACTTAGTGACAGAAAAGGAGGCAATCAGCACAATCTAGATTATGGGGAAACTCTACTAAGACGAAATCTAGTGTTGTCAAACAGAAAACTGCTAGGATAAAAGAGGGAACCTAGA